TGGCCGGCGCGGGGGCTGGGGCCGGGGCCGCAGGTGGGCGAGCGGGAGGCGCTGGGGGGGCAGCCTCGGTCAGAGGGGCGGGTAGTGCCACTGGGGGCCCCAGGGCTGCGCCCCTCAAAGCGCTGGTCTTGGCGAAACGCACGACGCAGGTGGACAGGGCGAGAGGCGCGGGCGGCCCGGAGCGCCGGTAATCTTCATAGCCGCGGCCGCCCCAGCCTGGGCCTCCTGCCCCGGCCAGGGGCTCCGAGGGCTCTGGAATCCCCGTGAACGGTAGAAGCGGAGGGTAGCTCTGCGGGACGAAGGGACAAGAAGATCCGGTTAACAGAGTCTGTGACTTCTCCATCCCCCACCACAATCCATCCCAGTCTCAAAGGACTCGAGGAACCTGCCCCCTAAAACTCTCCTGGATGCGGGGTTCAGACTTGTAAGATCCCAGCCTGCTCCTCTCCCAAGGTCGCTCAACCACCTCCTTTCCCAGGCACCAGGCCCACACCTTAAGGACCCAATGGCCCAAGGCTCTCAGTCTTGTCCCCTCCCGAGATCCAGGAGCTCCGGCTCCCAGCGCTCTCTACCTTCAGATCCAGGAGTTCTAGACCCCAGCCATCTCCTTTCGGACTTAGGAGTCCAGTCCCTGGGCCCATTTTACCCTCTTGGGTACCAACCCTTCCTCATGAATTAAAGAGTCTGAAGGATCCGTTCCATGTGTACCAGCATTCCCTTATATACTGGAAGGATTGTCCACATCATCCCCCAAACGCCTCTGGAATTCAGAACTCCCCAAAGTCTCCAAAAGCGCAGGAGACACGAAGCCCCCACCCAACCCTCCGAGAAACCCAGGCCTCCCAGCCTCTCCCTATCTCCCCGCCCAGCTCATCAGTGAGCCCAGCCATCCCCTGGGACCTGCGTGTTGTTTCTCGCCGCCCAGGGCCTCAGCTCCTGCCCCCTTCGGGACCCCAGCACCCAACCTTGTTCCACCCAGAGCCCAGAGCCCCAGACTTCCGCTGGGGGCAGAGGTCGCACCTGAGCTGAGGAGCAGCGGCGCTGGGGGGACGTGGCCGGCCCAAAGCCAGAAGCCGACTCCATAGTGATGATGGGGGCCGCTGCGGCGGTGGGAGGCGTCTCCTGGCGGCTGTGACTGGAGGAGGAGTCGCTGTCCACGTGGGACTGGGGGAGATTGGCGGCCTCAGCGCGGGGACCCCCCAGCACAGCCGATGCCCTCACATAGACCCCCTCCCATCGAGAGCGAGGGCTCTGCTGCCAGGCAGGGCTGAGTTCAAACCCCGCTCTGCCACTGACTGGTTGTGTGACCTCCGGCAAGTGGGCTCACCTCTTTGAGCCTCAGTTTCCTCCTCTGTAAAATGGGGATCATAACAGTACCTATTCATAAGGATGTGGTTAGGACCCACTGTAAAGGGCATGGCACATGCCTGAAGTGCAGGAAGAGCTGGAAATGGTTACTGTTGTTATTAGACCCCTCTTCTTATCTGCTCAGCTCACCAACCTACAGAACATCAAATCATCTCCCTTCTCAGAACCCCTCTCCCCTGGCCAGTCAGCTTCCTTCCCGCCTCATTCACATCACCACACCTTTATTGGGGCAGTTCCATCTAGAGTGCCTTCCTTCCCATCCAAACCAGGCTCTGTCCTTTACTAGCTGAAACATCACTTCTCAGACTTTCAGCTTCCTGTCTGTAACCTGGTCATAATTCCTACCTCATCTGTTCAATACCCTCAGTACACATTTATTGAGCACCCACAACATGCCAGACTCACAAAGGCCAGTGTGTGGATTCGAGATGGAGCATGAAAAGCACAGCATCTTTCCAGGGCAAGGGCTCAACAGATGGGAACTGTCTGTGTGACTGTTGTGGCACCACCTCCATCTCCCATTACCCTGGAATTCCCCCCTTTTCTGCCCAGGGAACCAGTTTTATTCCTCCAGGTTGTGTTCTTAGCAACTCCTACTGTTCCCTGCAAGTGCCAAATTGCACCCGACGTTATGTGTACTCATTCATTCAATTTATTCAACATGTATTTACTGAACATTTGCTGTGTGCCAGGCACTGTTTTAGGCATTGGAGATGCAGCAAGAAACCAACAAAAGACTTGCTATCCTGGAGCTGACATTCTAGCATAAGAGATGGTCAGTGAAGTAGTAGATAAGAAAACTATCTTTTCAGAATGGAAATAAAGAATGTGTCTTAGAAGATGGGAAAAAAATTAGAACCAAATAAGGGGCATTGCAATTCTAAATAGGTTACTCAGGGAGGACCTCACTAAGAAAATTATATTTGTGTAAAGCCCTGAAATGAGGGGATGAGCCACATGGAAATCTGGGGAAGAGTGTTCCAGACAGAAGTAACAGCCAGTGCAAAGGCCCTGAGACAGGATTGTGCCTGCCCCATTGGAGTAAGAGTGAGAAAGCCAGTGTGGCTGAAGCAGAGTGAGTGAGTGGGAGAGTAACACAGGGCCAGATGGTACGGGATCCACTATAAGGACTTTGTCCTTTACCTTGAATGAGATAGAGCCCTAGGAGGGTTCTGAGTGGAGGAGGTGGCATGATCTGACTCAGCCACCAATAGAGTCCTTCTGGCTGTATGTGGGAGACAGGAGGGAGGGAGTTGACAATGAGAAGTTATTGAGATGGTCCAATTGGGAGATGAAGTTGGACAGTACCAGGTTGAAGGCATATTCTGACGATTTTGAAAGTGCAACCAATATTTACTGACAGATAAGAAGCATAAAAAATAAGAGGAGTCAAGGACAACTCCAAGGTTTGTAGCCTGAATAACTGGAAACATGGAGTTGCCATTAATTTGTTCATTTACTTTTAATACTTATTAATTTTTATCGTATACATATAGTTTTCAGCCTTTCTGCACTAGAATAGAAGCTCCTTGAGGAAAGGGATTTTTTTGTAGTTGTTCGCTGATGTATCCTCAGTGCTTAAAACATGGCCTGGTACACAAAAAGTGCTCAACAAGCTTATTAATTTTTATCGTATACATATAGTTTTCAGCCTTTCCGCACTAGAATAGAAGCTCCTTGAGGAAAGGGATTTTTTTGTAGCTGTTCGCTGATGTATCCTCAGTGCTTAAAACATGGCCTGGTACACAAAAAGTGCTCAACAAGCACCCTTGAATAAATGTGTGAATCACACTAGAACAGGAAGACTAGAATAATTGGGATTGAATTGACACTAAAAGTTTGGGTCCAATTTTGTATCCCCAGCACGTGGCATGGTGCCTGCCACACAGCAGGTGCTCAAGAATGTTTGTAGAATAGGAACAAACCTCTGCCCTCCCAACAGAGATGCATCCTGAAGACTCACCGTCAAAGGGCAGGGGGTCTCTGCTGTGTCCTGGGAAGGGGAGGAGGAGGAGGAAGAGGAGGGGGTGAGCGAGCCTGGGGCAGGGAGAAAGGCAGAGAGTGAGTTCCCTGGGCCCCAGCTTCTCCTACCCCTCCACCCCAGCCCCACCACCTGTGCCACTAACCTCGACCCAATGCGGCCAGTGCAGCCAGCAGGCTCTTCTGGAACTCATCAGCCTCTGCAGGACTCTGAAATGTCAGCCCAAATTTACAATCGCCCAGGCTCCAGTGGTGGAAGATGGGGTTCACCTTGTTGTAAACCAAACCTGGCCTCAGGGTACACTCCAAGGTAGTCTGAGGGGCAGGAAGGGACCAGGTCAGACACCCCACCCAGCCATGCCTGTGACTTCCCCTCAAACCCCAACCCCTCTGCATACCCCAGCATCCCACAAACCTCATTTTCCAATCCTAGGTGTACTCCTGAACCCTGATTGACACCCCAGTATGACTCCCAATTTTATTGAGTGTACCTGATACGACAATATTTCCCCAACCCCTTTCTCCCTACATTTTCCTAATATCCCCCTCCGATACCCCAGTAAAAAACCCAAATCTTATTGAATGCCTCAAAAAATTGTAAACCCCTTTCCAAAAACCCAACATCTCCCCCTTCTGACTCAACAGTACTCCCCAAACTTTACTGAACATCTCAAACTGTTTTCTGTTAATCCTCTTCTGATGCCCCAATAATCTACCAAAACCTTACCCCAAAATATTCCTATTATACTTCCTTAGATTCCCCCTCAGATGCTGGTAAACTCCTTAGATGTTTTCTCACATCCTTGCCTAATATCACTATATTCCTTCATACCATTTCAAACCCTCCCACCTCATTCGTTCCTACATGACCCCTGCTTTGAAATGCAACCCTTCCCTCAAGCCTTTTCAAATAATCCAAATCTTTCAACTACATCTCCAGTTGAAACTTCAGCATTGTCCCTCCAAATCATGACAGACAGCCCAGTCATTCCTGCTGAACCCACATACACAATTGTCAATTGCATTTGACAATCCTAAATGGACCTCACCAAATGCCTCCATATATTTAAGGCAGACAGAGGCCAGTTGGTGTAGTGCCTTGAGGTGAGGCTCTCTGAGCAAGATGGAGCCATGGGAGTGTTCTGAACAGAGGAGGGACATGATCTGAGTCGGGTGTTAGCAGGGAAATAGACCAGGAATAGGCTAGGTTGGAGCAGGGAGAAGGAGTGGGTCAGGAAGACCAGTAAGAAGTCTGCTGTGATAGTCCAGCAGGAGATGGCAGTGGCAGGACCTGCCTAATACCCCAAACATTCCCCAAATTCCCAACTCTTACCCATAGCACAGATATTCACTTCCAAACCAACCCATACCCCAGTTTGATTGTCAGGCTGGGAGACAATCTGACCTCTCCTCTGCACTCCCAGCCGCATTCCCCTGCCTCCCCAGGGCCCCACCCTACCCCGACACCCCAGGGTGGCTCACTTTCTGGTCCCGGAGGCGCTCCCCGTGGATGACGTAGTGCCCCTGGCGGGCCCCACCCTCGGGCCTGGCCCCTCGGACCCGACATACGCTCACCTGGCTGAGGCCCCCGCCCCCCACAGGCAGCCAGCCCCCACTGGAGTCATCTCGGGCCATCACCACGGCTCGGACCCGCACCATGTACCTGGAGGAGGTGGGAGGGACAGGAACAACACTCAGTGGGCTCAAATCCTGCTCCTCCATTCAGTGTTCCCCCAACCCTCATATCCCCTCCATCTTCATCTTTCACGTCTTGATCCACTGCACCAGTAGCTACCAATACCAACCTTCTCCCCCATGCCCACCTTCTCCCCCATGCCCAGCATGGCTTCATTCTTCCTCATGCCACCTCTTTTCTCCAATGTCTACCTTCTCCATGTCTACCTTTTCTTCCTATACCTACCTTTCCCCCATCTTTCCCATCCCCACCCCCATAGCCTTGGTTTTCCACTTCCCCTCCCCCTCCTGCTCATCCCTATCAACCCTTCTCTCCTCTCTCAGCAAATACCCACAGCCCCACCCATGTTCCCCCTCACAGCTGGGTGCCTGCGCATATATATTTTCTCTGGGCCCATCAACTCAGCTCCAGTTCCCCCAACACTGCCTCCGCACCCTGTCGCCCAGGCCACTGGCTGGGTGAGAAACCCAGGCTCTTTTCCCCCCACCCCTTCCCGGATTTATGAATGAGACCGGATGCAAAGCTCACTGAGTCACCCAGCAACGGGAGATGGGCAGGGAGCAGAGAGAGAACCAGAAATGGCCAGAAAGAGAGGCCGAGAGGGAGATGGAGGCAAAGGAAGTCAGAAACCGGCGACCGAAGACACATCCAGAGAGCGTTTCATTCACAAAATCAAGGCTGCTCCCGCAGGCCCCAGCCAAGAGAAGCCAAGGGGGAGAAATGGCGGGGGGTGGGGGGAAGCAATCTCTCCCCCCACCCCAGCATCCTTCAGAACCATCTTACCCCGCCCCCCCAGCTCAGGGGACGTAGCCCTCCGCCCAGGAATCAGTATCAGCGTCCAGCCTCTCACTGCCACCCAGCGCACAGACCCTAGCATCCCAACCTTAGGGACCCAGGCAACGAGCTCTAGCCCCCTCCCCCACCTGCAGGCTGCCGGGTTTCCCCGGCCTTTCGGGAAGAGAAGGGGCGGCCGCAGCGCCCCCAGCCCCCTTTTCTCAATGGGATGGGATTTTGTGAATGAGCAGTCACGTGACGCTGCTTCCTTTGTCCGCCCGCCTCCCCCGACAACAGGTGAAGCAGGGAAAGAGGGTAGGGGTCACCCCCAGGGCCTAGCTGGGATGGGGCACCAGGATTTCAAGGTACCCTACACTCCCCACACGCCTATGTTCCCCGGGGGGAGTGGTCCTCAGAGTTCCTCAATGGTGGGGGTCCAAGACAGAATTCTGTGAATGGGGCATCCATGAAGGAAGTCCAGGTTCCCCAAATGGAGACTGGTACCCCCAATGGCTGTCGCGCAGTTTGGTGGCCCACAGCCCCTTGTCCTCCCAGCCGGGGTCCGGGGGACGCCCCGGAGAGCAGAAGGCGCAGCGCGGTCCTGGCCGCCCCCTCACCGGAGCAGGCGGTCTGTCAGCCCCCGCCCCCCGCCCCCCTCGGCACCTGCCTGGGAGGCTCCGGCCGGGCTCCGAGCGGCGGCGACGCGGCCTCCTCCTCCTCCTGTTCGCTCCGGCTCTCTCGCTGGCTCCGGCGGCGCTGGAGACGGGCACCGGGAGCCGGGGCGAGGGGGAAGGGAGGGGGAACCTGGAAGACGGGTGGGGGGGGAGGGGACGGCTTGGGGGAGGGGTAAGAGCGAGGCGGGCGTCCTTGCTCGCTGGGTCCTAAAGCCCGGTAGCAGCTCCAGCGAATAGCCCCCCAGCCCCCATTTTCTCAGGATCCAGAGGGGATCCCCCACTTTCCCACCCATCCGTGCCATTGGTCCCAGATGATGTGAGGAGGGGACAGGGATGGGGCTTGGCCTCTGGGCTCTAAAGAGGCGGTGGTCTACGCTTTGGGCTCTAAATGGGAAGGGCTGGGTGCCTGGCAGGGTTCGACAAGGGGTGGGGCGAGAAGGGAGCAATTCGCAAAAGGGGCGGGTGGGAGGGTCTGGGGAAAGAGGTTTGGTCTCTGAAGGCGGGGACAAGAGCGTGCGTCATGGAAGGGGCGGGTCCACGGTGGATGGACCTTCTGGGCGGGCCGAAGGGAGGAGAGGGTCCCAAAAAGGCGGAACTTAGAGGTAAATTGTCTTAGAAGCGGAGATGAGAGGTCCGAAAGGGAGGAGCTACGTAGCAGTGCTCGCAATGGGCGGGGCTTTGGGAGGGAATAAGGGGGAGGAGCGGAGTATTTTAAAGGGGAGGGGCAGGGAGAACGTTCTAAAGGGGTGGGACTTAAGACTAGAAGGTCTGGGAGAGGGGAAGAAGACATCGGAGTAGTGTATTTCAAAGAGACATCCAGGTTCGTAAGGCGCCGGGCTCCAGCTGGCTCACAGGAGGGCGGGGCCTAGAACCTGGGGGCGGGGCCTAGCTCTCGGGGTCCGCCCTCGCAGTCTCGTCCTCTTGGCTTCAACTGCACCTCCGTTCTTTTCGGTTATTTTCTGTTACGGCCGTTCCCCGCCCTGCCCTGGGCCCAGGGGGCCGCGGTCTGAACTTTGGTCGGCTGGAGGGGTCGGTAAGTGGGGTCCTCCGGGCGGAGGAGCCAGGGCGGAGCTTGGGGAAAGGGGTGGAGCCAGAGTGTTGACACCGGCTGGTAGACCAAGAGAGGAAAAAGAAATTTAGGAATGAGGTTGAGGATCTGCCCCTGCCTGGGAAGAGGGCGGGGCCTGAAGATCAAAGGGTTAGAGATGAGGACTGAGGGATTAGCGTGACCACCATAACTGACATTTGTTAGGTGAAACGGGGCCAGAATGCGGATGGGGGTGGGGATGAGCCTTGAAAGCGGGGCGGGGCTAGGTCTCCGAGCCTGGTTAAAGTGCAGGGAAAGAAGCTTGAACTTTTTCTTTTTTTTTTTAAGATGACCGGTAAGGGGATCTTAACCCTTGACTTGGTGTTGTCAGCACCACGCTCACCCAGTGAGCAAACCGGCCATCCCTATATGGGATCCGAACCCGTGGCCTTGGTGTTATCAGCACCGCACTCTCCCGAGCGAGCCACGGGCCGGCCCTAAGAAGCTTGAACTTCTTAAAGGCGTTATAGGCTACTAAGCACAACCTTCATTAGTAATGTGGCCTGAGGAACTGACAAGAAGGCAGACACCTGAGTCTTTGCACTTGAAGACCTGGGATGTGGCCAAAGTGTAGGGATGTGATCTGAGGAACTAGCCAAGGGGAAAGGCATGAAACTTCAGTCCATTAAGGGGTTGGAGCCTAAATACCTGAACAGCAGCTGTGTGAGGCAATGGGGAGAAAAACGTGAGAGTCGAAAGTCAGGGACAAGGAGTGCGGCTAGACACTGGGGCCTGAATGGATCTTGGAGGACAGGAACGGGTCGGTGCGGAAGGCTAAGACCAAGTGCAGCCAGCCTCGTGGGGTCCCCACAACCCTGGCTGACTGACTGGAGGGAGTTTTTCTGACCACAGTCCCCGACCTCCGTCAGAAATGGGGAACGTGCAGTCGGAGCAGTCCGCAGGCGGGGGCTCCCGAAAAGAACAAGCCTCCGACCGCACCTCCGACTCCCGCCGGACATCCCCGGGGGAGCCGGAGCTGACCACCTCCTCCCCGGCCATGCGCCTGGCTCGCGGACTTGGCGTCTGGTTCCCTGGCAGCTCCGCGCCCCCGGGACTCATGGTACCCCCGGAGCCCCAGACCTCACCCTCGCCCCTGCCCCTGACCTTAGAACTGCCCTCGCCAGTGACGCCCCCTCCAGAGGGGCCGGCTGCGGCCGCTGTCTCCACATCACCCCCGCCCCGCGTGGGGACCCTGCTGCCCGCGCCGTCTAAGTGGCGAAAACCCACGGGCACTCCAGTGCCCCGGATCCGCGGCCTGCTGGAGGCAAGCCATCGCGGCCAGGGCGACCCTCCGAGCCTTCGCCCACTGCTGCCGGGCTGACTGACTGGAGGGAGTTTTTCTGACCACAGTCCCCGACCTCCGTCAGAAATGGGGAACGTGCAGTCGGAGCAGTCCGCAGGCGGGGGCTCCCGAAAAGAACAAGCCTCCGACCGCACCTCCGACTCCCGCCGGACATCCCCGGGGGAGCCGGAGCTGACCACCTCCTCCCCGGCCATGCGCCTGGCTCGCGGACTTGGCGTCTGGTTCCCTGGCAGCTCCGCGCCCCCGGGACTCATGGTACCCCCGGAGCCCCAGACCTCACCCTCGCCCCTGCCCCTGACCTTAGAACTGCCCTCGCCAGTGACGCCCCCTCCAGAGGGGCCGGCTGCGGCCGCTGTCTCCACATCACCCCCGCCCCGCGTGGGGACCCTGCTGCCCGCGCCGTCTAAGTGGCGAAAACCCACGGGCACTCCAGTGCCCCGGATCCGCGGCCTGCTGGAGGCAAGCCATCGCGGCCAGGGCGACCCTCCGAGCCTTCGCCCACTGCCGCCGCCGCCGCCGCCGCCGCCGCCGCCGCCCCAGCAACTAACCGAAAAGGATTCTGTCCCGAGGGCCTCATCCCCATCTCCGCCGCCCCTCTTGGGGCCGGGAAAGCCGCCACCACCACTTTCCAACCGGCAGCCTCCGGACCGCAGAATCGCTCCTGCTCTGGCCACGCCCGCCGCACACCCCACAGAAAACCAGGCCGGGCACGGCAGCGAGGCACAGACGGCCCGCGGGGCCTGCGGAGCGGCGCCTGCCCCCGAGCCGGGTGAGGGCGAAATGGCCAGGTCTGCGGCTTCCGAGTCCGTCCTGGGCCTGCTGTGTAAAGTCACCTTCAAGTCGGGGTCCCCCTTGCCCCCTGCGGCAGCCTCGGGTTCCTTAGCGTCCAAAGCCTCGCTCGGGAGCAGCGGAGGCGGAGGACTCTTCGCCTCCTCGGGCCCGATCTCTTACGCTGAGGTCCTGAAGCAGGGGCCCCTGGCTCCTGGAGCCGCTCGTCCCTCGGGAGAAGTCACTAGGGGGGCACAGGAAGCCAAGGGCGGCGATGGAGATGGTGAAGGGTGGTCTAGTTCCCCCTCGGCGCCTGCGTCCCACGCTCGGGTACTACCGCCGCCACCCTACACCACCTTCCCAGGCTCCAAGCCCAAATTCGACTGGGCGAGCCCTCCCCATGGCCCTGAACGCCACTTCCGCTTCAATGGGGGTGGCAGAGGCGTCGGGGCGCCCCGACGACGCGCGGCCGCGCTCTCCGGGCCCTGGGGCTCCCTTCCGGCTCCGCCAGGGCAGACGCACCCAGCTCCTGAGCCCCGGAGGCCCACATCTGCACTGCTGGCGCCGCCTATGTTCATCTTTCCGGCGCCCACCAACGGGGAGCCCGGACCCCCCGGGCCTTCCGGCCCACAGGAGCTACAGCCGCCGCCGCCCACGCCACCACCCACGCCACCACCCACGCCACCGCCCGCACCACCGCCCACACCGCAGCCGCCAGCTCTCCAGCCAACGCTGTTGCCTGTGGCACCTCAGCCTACCCCGGGCCCCTGTCACGTGGAGTCAGCTCTGGTTCCCGACCCAACCCCCTCTCTGCTCCCAGCCTTGGCCGCCGACCAGGCCCAGACCCAGGCTCAGGTCCCGGCCCCGGACCCCACCCCCGCCCC